CTCTCTCTCTCTCTCTCTCTCTCTCTCTCTCTCTCTCTCTAACGGGCATCAAATTGAAGAGGGTGGACGGGAATGGCTATACCTATGGGATTACTCACTATTTGTTCCGTTTGTAGCGGTTTCTGTGGTTTTTTCATGTATATTAATATCCGTACCATTGTATAACCACGTGTTTAACGTGTGTTACGTTATGTAGTGTCTTTAAAACATGAATAAAACACAATGTAAATATACGCATAACTGTATGCTTTTTGTTTTTCGAATATATGCTATTGTACCGATGTCGGAAGGCATCGTATACACACTACACTGTAGTTAAATGTGTCGCTCGAGAGTAAAGCAGTCTAAACGGGATTACGTGGTTTGTATTTGCGCTAACCATGACTTGCCCAGATGATGAACCACATCTTGACGCCACACGTCGCATAATACGCATTGCATTGTTCCAAGATCAATACCGGAAAAATAAATTGAAAGCCAGGTTTGAAATCACGACGAGGAAGTTCTTTCTATTTTTGCAGTGGTCTTCTCATTTTGGCGCCCTTATGGTTTCTGTGGATTCGGTAATGCAGCTGCTGCAGGTATAAGTTTGACAAAATATGCACAGGTCAAAGATTTTGACGAAAGGTCTACATAGAAGATGACCGCGAAACACTGACGAGAAGGTCTGTTCAATACAATGACTGTAATCTTGCTTCTGACTGAGCATGTAGCTATAAACTATGTTTAACAATTGCGCCAAATCCTGATTCATTATTGACAATGTTCACAGAAGACGCGGTGGACAGTGTCCTACTCAGTACATTGTGACCAATCATCGTATACCTACTCTCACATAAATTCTCTAATGTTAGGAAAATTTGGCCCGCTGTTGATATTGCGCGTACATATGAGACAATTTGTTTTACTATAATTTTATGCACAAATATCTGTTAATTAATTAACACGGTCATAAAGATATACATTATAATACAACCATAGAAACATGATGTGCGTTCCTCAAATGAATATTTTGACCCGACATTAAAAACATTACGTACAATTCTGTATTCCCAAAAAACACGTCTTAAACTATTACATCAATGGCAATAGCAAAGTAAAAATCCAAAAACGAGAAAGAAACAACAAATAAAATGTTTTCGATGATAAATATGGCTTAATAAAATTCTAAAAATAAGTGCATTCTGTTCTTAGTGGATTATAACTTAGAGTGTCCCAGGGGTAGCATTATTTACGACAACAAAATACGGTATGTGTCATGTAGCGGGCGGCCAATTAATTAGTTGAACAATACTGAATCGATCAAGATATAATATGCGCAATACTGGCCAGTGATATGTAGTACCTAGTACTTTATCGTCTTTTCGTGGCGTAGTGTGCCATGTATCAAATTTATACTTTATAAATCGTACAATTTTTGTTTTCTTCGTGGGCAGCTGACAGCGTTGACTAGTTACGACTCCATGTTTGAAAATGTGCGAATGTTATTTCTCTACGTTGCAATATATATAGTTAAAATTACGTTACTAACGAGTAGTGGCTAATGTTATGTATGGAATTATGGCATTTTAGTGGAGGGTAGTGGAAACCCCACTCGCGACAATGTTGGGTAGGTTTTCACAATCAATTACAGATATGTTAAAGGTACATAAAGCGTTTCCTGTCGACAATGGACAACACCGTCAGTTCAGCGACTGTGCCTGTCAAAACAAACTTTATAGGAAATGAACATGTTTAACCACAAGGTATGTGTATGAATAGACAACCAAACACCCGTTATCAAAACACACATAGTCTTCCGTATTATAGAGGAAATCAACTTTGTTGTTTACATACTAAAATGGCGCAGTTTCCGCCAGCCACAACTGCTGCAATAAACCTAGGAAAAAAACTGGCAGCGCCAACAATTACAACGTGGTGGAAAAATTATCATTCCTATAATAATAAAAAATAACTTATTTGTAACCGATGACAATATGGTGTCGCCTTATCGCTCTGTGTTGTAGGCAAGCAAAGTAACAACAAGATAAAAAGCACGTTGTGAGCTAGCAATGATCAGGCGTTTTTTTTGTTTCCTACAAAAGCGCTGTTGGTTTCTGATGGGCATCCATCTATGAATTACTGGTAACCTAGGTTACCCTATTGTTAAGATATCTCTTATTCGCACACATAGATCAGCTGAAGGACGTGTTCTAGTCACGACACTGACTCAATCTACTGACTTCACTCCTTCTCACACAGTGACAGTTTTTGAATTATTAAGAAAAAATAAAGAAATTGACAATCGCATTCATATCGCAAGGTATGGCAGAAATTGAAATGAGCTGGATGTTGGAATCTTTTCCTTAAATTAATCTTCTCCTTGTTCTACCCGCAGCAGGGAATTATGTCTTTCGTCAATATGATAGATGATAACTGGATAATCATCGAAACATTTTCCAGGACGCGATTTTGATGTACGTTGTTTCTCCCTGGTACAGACGCCGTTACAATGGCCACCGGTCAATCAACCCAAAATATCCAATGTGACCAGAAGAATAACAGGAAAATGTCAAGTACTTGTGGTTATTTCAATACATCGTTGACCATTTGTCTTTTTTTAGTTGTTCTAAACGGCAAACCTCTCCCATTTGGTGCCGGTAATTAGTATGGTGTCACGGAGGGAGGCGATACATTAAAGGCCTTGAAAAATGAATGCCTTTCTTGTATACGGTTTTAATGCTATTGTTATTGTGTCAGAAGGCGATGCCATTTTATCCTTGCAATTAACAAATAACTGTCATCGTGGCTCCAGTCACACAGTTTCTATGTACAATAGGGGAGGGGACACGCAGACGCAAAGTATATCGTTACTTGTTGTTGCGATATGGATGTAAAGAATGCTCTGCTACCGAAAAGATGAAGACCTGTGGCATCTCGCTACGGCAATGTTCAGTACCCTTAACATTATACTAATGTACCAAATTACATCGGTCGGCTGGCATATTGTGGAAAGGACGCATCAGCTTGTAATTCCTATCTTCACGTGATGTCCGAGTAATCTAGCTTGAGTATTTATGTGTCGCTCACTATTTAGTACTAGGAGTGTATAATATACTTAGCTTTCAAAAAAGTCGTAAAGCTTTAAAAACGGAAAACGGGAATGAGTTTCATTCGATCACATCTAGCGTTGTTGATCGATCTCTTTGTCAGTGAATTAGACTGGCAAGTATTCACAATAATTGGTGATCCACTCGGGGCTAGGTTCAACTGCTAATGCCAGCGGCACCTGCAAATGAAACAAATGAAATCAGAATAACAACTAAAGCATCAAAGTATGGTTAATTAGTTTGTAATAGATGCACGCCTCGGGCACGGCAAACCATTGTATGGTGTACTGACTAAGCGTCCGTCTAGGAAGAAATACGGCATAGACCAATTTGACTATACTGTATATAACGTACTTGTTGCGTCGAGG